ATTCGATCAAAATCACTATTCGCTTTAGATTCGCTTTGAACCTAAAATTCACTATTCGCTCAAGCTTGCCTTTAACTTTTGGCTCTGTTAGCTGCATACCTCTTGAGTGTGTTTGCTATCGATGATCACAAAGATAGTGACCACAGTTTTCTTCACAGCACTTGCAGGGAATGGTAGCTCCATTTTCTATCTGCGCACTGCCCGTGCGCGCTCCTTGGTAACTGCTCTGTTGTTATCTGTGGTCACGTTCACTGCGGTTTTGTCCGCAGCATTGCAGCAACCAGCATTGCTTTTAATCGGTGCGTGTTGGATGCGCACGTGTTTTCGTGCTCCACAACCGCATTTGTGTTCGCAGCGATTGCGGCAGAATGTTATGCTTGGCATAAGTACATGCTGGCCCCTTACGTGCCTTCATAATGCCCTGGTTGTCATTCAAGATTGCAGGGCTGGTGACAACAAGCAGTACAGTAAAATCTCGTTAATTCGACCCCCCATTAATTCGGCCACAGCGTCTGGTCCCGTCCAAAATGTACATTGTTCTATGACTGAAAACTCTCATTGGAACAAATTCGGCCGCGCTTCGGTTAATTTGAACGCCTGACCGTGGTCGAGTCATGACAGGGAAGCAGCAGCAGATTCTGCCGGCCAAATCGAAGGCGCATTTAAACAGCTTTGGGATCGGATTGTGGCCTTTGAGATTCAAAACTTCGTTCATGGGTAGTACATCTCTGAGACACCCCAAGAAAAAAAAAATCCACATGGTGGTTTAAACAACCAAAATGGAAGGCAGTGCATCGCTACTGTCATCAGCAACGGGCAACCTACGGATTTGCCTTTCCTTTTTTCTTGCGTGTCGAACACGTTTGCATGACGGTTGAGTTCGATTGCTCAACTCTAGTGTGCTTTAAATTGTTTATCTGTATGTGATCAGTGCCATCTGCAGTCTTACTCTTGCTGTTTTTGAAAAGTTCGCTGGTTTTCATTTCCTGTTTATCACTGTGCGTTTTTTTGTATATGTGTGTATTTGTGTTGTCTACTTCGTGTGTGCATGCGTGACCACTGCGCGAGCAATGCTGGGATGGCTTCATCTCCATCTCCTGCGGCCCCAACCGCCCCAACTCCTGCAGCGAAGAGGGCGAAGTACGAAGCAAAGGATTTGGCTGCAAAGTGGGAGCATCTCTAAAAGAAGTGTCGGAAAAGTTCAACTTACATGAGGAACGAAGAGCAGATTATGCAAGCGTATGACGGGGACATGTTTGTCGACCGAAGGAAGAGGCTTCGAACCTCAGCGCAGCCTAAACTAGAAGCGCTGTTGGGCTGGATTGCCGTTTCGCGCATTTTGCATTTGCCCTTGAGCGGCCTCCTTATCTGCGCACAAGCAGAGAAGTTCGCGGTGACCATGAACATTGACTTCTTCAATGCGTCCGAAGGCTGGTTCGACCGCTTGAAGAAGCGACATGGGCTGGTGTTCCGCAACGTGTGTGGTGGAAGAGGTGCAGTTGACGAAAGTGTTGTGCAGGACTGGCGGTCTGAACTAATCACGCGCCATTACATGTACGAGCCGTGCAACATTTTCAACGCTGATGAAACAGCGCTGTTCTATAAGGCTCTGCCTGACAAGACAATCGCGTTTAAGGGGGACCCGTGCATCGGTGGAAAGCGAAGTAAAGAGTACGTGACAGTTCTTCTGGCTGCTAACATGACCGGCACTGAGCGGCTGCCGCTTATGGTGATCTGGAAAGCTGCGAAGCCAAGATGTTAAGAATATTAAACAGCTGCCTGTCGACTTCCGGTTCAACAGAAAGGCTTGGATGACTGCCGAACTCTTTCAAGCCTGGCTGCGTCAACTCGACCTCCACTTTGCGGCCAAGGCTCCGAAGTCCGAAGGTGTTGTTCGGGCTAGACAACTGTAGTGCGCACACGAAGGTGTCTGGGCTCAAGAACATTGAACTGCTATTCCTGCCTCTGAACACAACGGCTTCCCTGCAGCTGATGTACCAGAGAATTATACAGTTCGTGAAAAGCCGCTATCGATGACTGGTACTCGAGCGGATGTTGCTCTGCATGGAGTCAGGCAAGCAGTACGAAGTAAGCCTGCTAAGCGCAGTCCACATGCTGACATACGTGTGGAACAACACACCACCTGCAGTAGTCGCAAATTGCTTTAGGCCACACCACCTGCAGTAGTCGCAAATTGCTTTAGGCATAGCGGCTTTGTGCACGACACTGCTGATCCGGTGGTGGTGGCTGATGAGGAAACCAGCGAAGAGCAAGACAGCCGCTATGTGAGCATCATGCCAGCTGATGTGCCCATGGCGGATTGCTTCGCAATTGACAGCGATGTTGCCGTGGCCAGCACAGTGACTGACAGCGATATCGTCGCCGAAGTCTTGGACGGCGAAGAGGAATCGGCTGACGAGGACGTGATGCTGACGAGCGTCCGCGCCACACTATGACGGAGGCTGCGCATGCGTTGGCCGTTTCGGAAGACATAGAGATGCTTCTCTCGGACAGTGTGCGTGGACTAAGTTACCTGCAAGAACTTCGCGAAATTGCAACTTCGTTGCACATTACGTTCGTGAAGCAAACCGGGATCACAGAATTTTTTAAGAAATAAAAAGTCTGATGATGTAGGAGACATTTTTCAAGTGTTTTGTTCGTACTCGCGATAATTCGTACCCTCAGATAATTCGGACATCCTCTCCTGTCCCGTAAAGCTTGAATTAACGTAGTTTCACTGTAGTTTTGTTTTGAGCGCTATATCAAAAATGTGGTGGGAGTTTTTGAACGACTCGACTGCAGCTCGCACGCCCATCAAACCCACCGGTGGCAGTCATTATGGTAGATGGGAGATTTGACACTGAAAATCTCAATGGCAAAAAGCTTGCCAGGATGTGCATGTGGTGGCAGATGCGTGGCTATGATGGAGACAAGGACGTTGCAGTGTGGCTGCATGGTTCCGGAAGCCATAAAGCAACAAGAAATTGTCGAGTTGCTAGTGGAAGTTCACTGAAATCCTTGAAAGTTCTTTTTTCTTATGTTTTTTTTTTTCTTTTTTCTCGCGAAAACTCTATACAAGCAAAAGTATCCTGGAAAAGTAGTTGTTGCAAGTAGCCCTATTTCGCATTGTCTTCTACGTGCGGCTGATGGGGAATGGAAAATTACTCATTGCTGGGGAAGTTTGCTTAAAGCAGATTTCTCTATAACGGGAATCAACAGTACAGCATTTTTTATCAACTTCTTTGTGAGAAATCTTGCAATATTTTTGTCATGTGAGCTTTTACCTAAATAGAGAAATAGAGTAACTGACACAAGTTCAAGTTCAAACACATATATGTGTTAACAGAGGTATTTTGTACATTCATGAATATGCAGAACAAAGTTCTTAACATCAGCATGAAAATTTGGCAACTCAAAAAATGGTTGCTTGCAAGGCAAATTTGGCTTATGTAGTTTCCAGTGTCTTCTACCAGTCTGGGGACCTGCTCCCTGTATTGGAGCAAGTGGGGTAACAAGATATGTTAATACAAGTGAACCCAGATGTAGCAAATCTACAGGGGATGACAAAATGGTTTTATACGAAAAAGATAAACCACAGGACGCATGCTTTACTGCATCAAAGTTGTTTGTGCTATTAGTATACCTTGTCACATTACGTGGCTGTGTTGAAGGGAAGCAAACAAAGCAAATCCAGCTTTATGGGGTCATTTCCTGGTCCCTTTAGTTTCTGTTTAACAAGAGTTTGTTGTATGCATTGTATAGTGCTGCACTTTTGTAAGGTATATACATGATAATGTTGTAGATATTCTATATAGACAATAATATAATACATCAAGATCTGTTGCCTTGCAACTTGAAAATCATTTTACTACTGCCCCGCCGCGGTGGTCTAGTGGCTAAGATACTCGGCTGCTGACTTGCAGGCCGCGAGATCGAATCCCGGCTGCGGCGGCTGCATTTTCGATGGAGGTGAAAATGCTGTAGGCCTGCGTGCTCAGATTTGGGTGCACGTTAAAGAACCCCAGGTGGTAAAAATTTCCGGAGCCCTCCACCACGGCATCTCTTATAATCATATGGTTGTTTTGGTACGTTAAACCCCACAAATCAATCAGTCAATAAATTCATCAATCAATCAATCAATCAATCAATCTACTCCTTCTCAAGCTTCATTCACACTAGTGAAAGGGCAGGGTAGTGAAAAGCCTTGGCAGGCGGAAATTTTTCATGCTTGTTCTGGCACCGCCACTTTTGTCATTTATGCCTACTGTTTGTTAACAAATAAATTGGAACCATGCCACTTTTCCTCTATTTTTAAGCTTTTTATTTCATACTGAATATTAACCATGCATGCTGACTAGCATGCATAAATAACAGTTACGACCTTGTCAACCTCTTGTTTTCTGCAGAGGCACTGGCAAAAGTGAGTTATGTTAGAACACACCAATGCGCTGCGGCCTAACCTGCCACTTTTCCCACTTTTTCTGCAATCTTCACGTCTGTGTCACGTCTGTGTCAGAGCACGCAAGGAGCCGGTTTTAGTTCTGTGGGGCGAAATCTCTAGGCAGTTTCGGGCTCTGATGTGGTCAGCCTGACAGCTAGGCCACACGTGCTTCTGATACAGCACTTGATAGCCTGAAATTGCCTCGAGGTTTTGCCCCGTGGAGTGAAAACCGGCTCCTCGCACGCTCTACACAGATGGGGCCGCGGCTGTACATCCTCGTAGAGCCTGTAAATTTTGTCATGCAACACAGGGTAATTTGTGATTTCATCGATGGCAATCATCACCAGCACTTTAGACGTATTGAATTTGGGACCTGATGCTTGCATGCTAGTTCAGCACAAGTGCAGCATTCAATAAAGTGGAAACACTTTTCGCACTTCACTAAGGGGAGGGGGCCACAAGCCACTTAAGGTCTCTTTTTTTTTCTCAATGCTTTGAGATTTTTATGCATGGGAAGTCCATGAGCCATAATTGTGTTCATTATTCTTTTTGTCTTCAGGGACATCATTGCCAAAGGTCACTCACGACTACACCCAGCACCCTTCTCCGATGAGTGCGTCATCCTTTGTAGCAGCGCCAACGTCTGCCGACAGTGGCTGGAGCACAGTGCCTCAGCTCTCAACACCTGCGCCGCCTCCTTTGGGCGAGTACAACTTTGTGAGCACAAGTCCGCCTTCCCTGCCTGCTGAGCCAGCTGCTGTGATGAATGGCATGTCGCCACAGGCAGATGGGTCAGCGCCTTCATCACCACCTGTCAGCAGCCAGCCCGCCACATTCGACTACTACAAGGCTAGCACTTATTCGGTGAGCCCCGTAACGTGATAAAAACGAGTGCTTCGCTGTAGACTCTGCATGGCTAACGAGTACTAAATAGCACTATTTAAATAAAGGGGAAATCTATAGCCTCTTTCTTTAGCGGCTTATCTGGTTCACTCACGTCGAGGTTCTTTTCGTAAAAATGCCCCAAGTTAGAAATCTGCTACTTGCAGTCCGCGGGGCCACATGTGGCCCATGGGGCAGTATTATGCGGCTCCCGGCACAACTTAAGAACCCCTCCCACTCTCCCTTCTTTTTTTTTTTTTTTATTCGAAGACGGACAGAGCAGTTTTGATCTAAATGGGCCTCTTGCTTCTAATCAATGTTTGTAAATTGCAACTTTGTGACATGCATGCTGAAAATAAACGTGATTTTTGTTATACTTTTGTACATTATTGTTGATTCGCCATTTTTGTTTTTATCTGCAAAGCTCCCAAGCTCCACCTCCCCCCCCCTCCCCCTTTCTCAAATGGTTCGCCATCCAGCCCTGTGACATGTCTGATTCATGCAACTTGACCTTCGGCCTCAAAAGCGTGCCGACCCCTGCCCTAAGTCATTATTTGAAATTAACTTGACCGGGCTAACTTTAACAGATTTCTTTCGCACAGCCTGCCTGATGTACTTAAGTGGAAATGGCTTTCTGCTACTGACCACAATGTTGCAAGTTTTATTCTAAAAAAAATAGGCTTCCACAAATGTTTTATTTGGTACTAATAGTTTGTTGTCACAGGTTACACACTTTAGGGAAGAAGGAATAAATTTTACTTTTTGTAAAATGTGAAAATGCTCTCTGAAAGATTCATGGCCAAAAATTAGTATGTCTCATTTCTGTGTATTAGCATTGACAATTCTCCACTGACACCTGTAGTACCAGCAAAAATTGTACAAGCTGCCTGCCTGTTAAGATGGCTTTAACTATAGGCCAACCTGAGTATTGCTGAATGGGAGTTGAGAAAACTTTGTACACAATTTCAAAAATACTGGCTCAGTTGGATATAACCATTTAACTTCAGTACTTGAAATCACTCATGTCTTTTTTTAGGGTTTAGAAACTGCGATAAAAAACATGTTGGCTAGAGGTAGTACTATGTAGTAAACACACCAGCAGCCTTTTTATGTAACTTAAGTATTGCAGGTTAACTTTAAAGTTTTTCAAAATTATGATCAAAACATTTGTAAATGTTAAAGAAATTCCACTGATTTTGAAAGCAGTAGCTGTCAAAGCATTGCCAAAATATTATTTCCAGTGCTATTTTAAACCACTGTTCATCAATATAGTTCCCCAATGTTCTAGTAGTGATACTGAGAAAACTTTGTCTGCAGGGTGTCAGTTTTTTTTTTTTTTTCGTTGTTTCATGATGTGAATGACTCATCTTAAATCTCTGTGACGTTTTAACAGATGCACTGGCCTACTTTACCTTGCCTATAAAATTCGCATGAAAGCATCGCATTTTGTTGGGACTAGGGAAAAGCAGTTATAGCTGCTAGGGGAAGTCGTGGCGAGTATAATGGTGGTTAGAGTGCATCATTTATATGGGTATAGTGCACCAGGACAAGGACACAAAAAGAGAGGGACACACACGCACACAGCGCTGCTTCAAGGTGGCCAAATTTTTCTCCAGGGTATATAAGTATTTATCCTTAATTTATACCTGATGCTAACTGGCTTAACAACTTCAATCAACTTCGTGGTTGCCACTAAATTCCCAACTTGGTAAATTTCTAACTTGGCAAATAGTTGACACTTGCAGTGTGGCCTCTGCATTCATGCACTTATATGGTATCTATCAAACTAAGTCCAAATTAGCTCATAACTTGTTTGGCCTGAAAACCTTTGGCATGCATATTGTGGAAAATCACAATCTGTATTATAATGTTAAAAGTGCTGTTAAGTCAGATTTGGCTTGAACATTCTGCTTGTATTTCTTTTTCTCTCCTTTTAAGCCAACATTTACAGGCTCCTCTCTTCCAGGTTGCGTGAAAAAACAAATTGACTCCGTTTCTCAAAATCACATTTTAAAATTTATACGTATTGATGTATTTAATGAAGTGCACTGGATCAAAGCAAAAGAAGGCACACAGCATGTTCTGGTACAGAATTCATTTCTTTAGCAGGCTTCGAATTAAAGATTGATTAAGGAGATATGGGAGGGAGCCATATTGATTTGCGTTTTTTTTTTCTACCAGAAACGGGGATTGTGGTTGGAAAGAGGGAGGCTGTTCCTAAAGGGGGTGTGGTGCATGCGTACATGCAGACTGAATAATGCCTTTGCAGCATTGGACAATAAATAGAAAGAAGGCATGGGGGAAACAAGAAAAAAAAAATCGAGCAGCGAAAGGACAGGTTCATATGTAAGCGGAGGTCGTCGTGTTCAATTGGGTTAATGGTGGTCCCTCCCTCACTGTGCATATTGATTGGTGGGCTCCTCCTCTCTTGCTTTGGTCTGCAGGGCCGTCACAGGGGAGAGGGAGAGCACCGTACCTCCCCCCCCCCTTTTTTTTTTGCTGTTTTTCTTTTCTATGCTGCTGTCACGGCACAATGTGGGTGCCTTTTGGTTGCTTGATATGTTTTTCTTTCTGTAGCTACTCACCCTTTAAAAGTTGTTTTGCACCTTCAGTTTTTTTTAGTTTTCCTTTTCCCCTTTTTTTTTCCCATTTTGTCAAAACTGGTGCTGTTTGAGAGGTCCACGCCGGGCCCTCGTATTAATGGGCACAGAGTGGTGCTCAGCCTGGGCTGGGCGTCGGTGAATATGCCCTGCGCAGTAGCTGTGTTTATGCGGCCAGAGGGCGTGGTCCCAGCGTGCATTGTGGCTCCTTCCTCGTCCCATTTTCAACTCGATGGGACAGTAGGTCCTTGGCTTTCAGAGCTGAGTAGGGAAAAGAACTGAATCTGGGACAAAGGCTTTGCTACAGCTGTTTTATGTAGCCTTGCTTAAAGCGGGTCGGGAAGATGGTCTAGTGTGGCTAGAGGTGCAGTCGTGGGGCAGGTTTGATTGCAAATTATCTACCCTGCCAACTTTGGAGCTGGGGATGACGCAGTGTAGTTGTGCAACAAGCACAAGCATTAAGACTGAGTGCTGTTACATCCCGTAGCCAGCGACGGTTTGGCAGCTTGGGAACAGAGATGCATTTGTGACGCTCTTCTCGAGTCATCTTGGCAAATGGCATAACTCTCGATCCTGGTCTTCGACGGCCTGTCCTTTGTGGGCCCCGTGCCGTGACTGGCTGGTCCGCTGCTGCTATGCCACATGTCACTCTTCTTTATTCTATGAATTTCTCTTGGTTACTAGTATTTTTTTCTTCCTTGTTTGTATTTTTTTTGTTACCTTGACCCAAGCCTACCATGCGACATTTTCTTTGAGCGTGGCACCATGCCTCAAGAAACAACGCGAAGCAACAGCACACAAGCACGTTAAAGCTCATCGTCGTCCTACGTGCGCCCTGTTTTGCGGCTGGCATCTGTGCTACCCCAGTTTTCGGTAGGTGGCACCTTTTCTTTCATTTACTTTTCCTTTTCTTTTCCTCACCCTCTGATTTTGATTTGCGCTTGTGACTGTGCTGGCTTCTGTATGCCTCCTTAGTGTTATTTATTTATTTTTTTCCCAACCTTATTTGACAAGCTGCTGCATGGATATATTGCCATATCTGCAATTTTACAGTGGCAGTTAGCTGGGGAGTTCAGTCATGTGTACGACTGAACAAACTTGTGTACTTGCTGTTTGTAAGATGTCAACTCCAGGGAATGCTTTGTATGTACTCTGGTAGCTTGTTCATTGTCGTAATGAAAAGGTGTTAATTACTTTTTTTTGTGTGTGTCTAACAGCAAGAACTGCTGTAATAAATGTGACCAGCACTTAGGGTTTCTCTGATGATAGCAGTGTCCAGTGACTATTAATGTTTATAAATATTTCTCTAATATTCGTATTTAGACCAAGTGATCAGGAATATCGATACAAACTTTGGTGTGTAAAGATGCTTAGACAAACAATATTTTTTTTTTATGGTAAGCATGCTGTATAGTGGCAGCTTGTATAAACTTGTGCACTATTCTGGAGTTAATTAATTCAGATGATTTCTATTCTGAGCAAAAATGATGGGTTATCAATGAGCTAGGGTTGGCAAGAACTGAAGTAGCTGCCAAGTTGATTGATTGCTGCACCAATGACCACAATGTTGTTGCTGCTCTGAGCTGTTCAAGCCTGCTTGTCTTTTAATAACGTGTTGCTGAGTGGCTTAGTTCAATTAAGAGTAAAAATAGTCATGGAAAAAATTATTACAGTCAAGAGGGATGAGGACACATGCAGTATACTCACATACACTACTAACCATAGCAAAAAATGCACTGTGCCTTGAAGCAAATTAAAAAATGAAAATTTGCATCTTTCACTGAATGAGACCAAAGAGCACGGTAATACTTGTACAATGCTGTCCTTGACCAGCATCTTTTTTTTCTAGTGTACTTAGCTGTCCAGACATAGTCAAATGTATATATACTGATATAGTTCTCATTTGAAGTATGTTACACCCATTCCTTGTTGTGGTTCCTTATGTTCAGTGGCCATTTCTGTAGCTCCTCTTTCCCCGATGGCAAATACAGTATGACAAAAGGAAGAAATGACCTGACAATGTGGTTGGACATATTGATGCAACTCATTCATATGTGTTTTCAAAAAGTGCTGTTCCTGCTGTGGCCACAATGAATGCAAAGTGCAGGACATAGCTTGGACACCCACTCTCCACTCCTCGAAACTTTTTATGTTTTGCATGTACAGGGCTGGAAGTGTTGTGTCATTTGCGCTATTCTGTGCCAGGCTGCTCATAAACGGCAATTTCGTGATAATTGTCGATTGAAAATGTAAACTGCCAAATCTAGCCAATTTTTACAGATGACTGAGCAGCAGTGAGTGTTGACTACACCAAGGATGCGGCCACATCTATATCTAGTCAAGCTTGGACACCCACTCTCCACTCCTCGAAACTTTTTATGT